GTGGAGGGGTGGGTGCATGCGGGGTGGAGGGGTGGGTGCATGCGGGGTGGAGGGGTATGTGGGGGCGGGGGGGTTTAGGGGTATGTGGGGGCCGGCTTGGTGAGTGTGAGTGTGAATGTGTGAGTGTGTGTGTTTCGGCGTTTTCGGGTTTGTGGAGGAAGGAGATGCGGGTTGGGAGGTCCAAGAGCCATTACCGTGTCAGGAGAGGCACTGGAGGGCGCTTGTCGTGCTCCATCCCTGCAGGTGGGGTGTGTGTGTGTATATGTGTGTTTTGGCCCTGCGAAGGAAGTGAAGCGGAAGGGGGGAAAGAGAAGGGCTCCCCGCAACCTCCACCGCGCCCCATCACATGCATACATACATACATACATACATTAGGGTTTGGCACTACTGGTAAGGCGCGACCATTGCCCCCGGGAGATCCCGGGATCGATACCCGTTAGGGTCAAAAGTCCTTCCGATGGTGGAAGGCATTGCGCCCCTAGTTGATGGACGGTGGTGACCTGGGATAAAGTTAACCCGCGAGCCGACCAGGAATGGAGTTGGGCCGCTGTCGACCCGGCAGATTCCGTTGGATGCTGGTGGTGGGTGCGGAACCTGAGCGATCCACTGAGAAGTTGACTATGGTGACTGGATGAGGGTGCCCCGGAATACCGGGGAAGGCAGGGTTTCGCAGGGTAGCTGCCACGGGCGAAGATACACCCCCCTGTTTCACACATCATACAATCATACATACAATCATACATACATACATACATACTACATACATACATACACACATACATACACACATACATACACACATACATACATACACATCCACACCTCAAGCGACTTCCTTCCTGTTAACCCCTGACCTCATCCGCTGCCCGGGAGGCCGTTGTCCCCGCAAGTGTAAGCTCCCCACCCCCACCCCCACCCCCACCCCCACCCCCACCGGGTCACAGGGTCGCCTCGCGCTTCGTTTCGGGGTGCGCCTCTCCCTCCCTCCCCCGCCCCCCAAACCACCCCCCAGCCCCCGGGCGGCCCGCGACTCTGCTGTAGCCTCCAACACACCGTCCCAACACTTCCCAACCCGCCGCCCCCTCGATCGTTTAAACAAAGCAATTTCCAGAACTTCTTAAACCTTACTTGCGGCCCCGTGTGTGTATGTGGCGGTGTGGTGGGGGGAATTGGGGAATTGGGAGGGAGCTGCATCCGCTGCCTTGTGTTATGTTGTGAATGATAATGATCATGTCGATCTGCTGTTCTTGCTGGTACGGCAGGTACGACGTGATCCTTTTGCTGCTGTACGTTGCGCTGAGTGGGCAGTGGGCGGACGTGATTGGGACTCCCTCGCGTAAGGCCCTCAAGGTGCGGCTCTGATACTTAACTTATGTACTTATTTATTTTCTTGTTGGTCTATGGGGTGGTGGTATAATTTATAGATGTGGGGAAGGGGGGAGGGTGGGGTTCACACACACA